TTCTGGAGGCCGCTTGCTTTAAATGCCATAGAACCAAGTAACTCTTTGCATTTCTTAAAAATATTAAGGTTTTCAAAGGCCAGCTTAGAGTTCTCTAGATAGACCTTACTTAGTTAACTTCCCTTAGCCACTTCGACCTTTGACAATTTGTTCATGTGAAACCACTCTAGAAATAAGTAGTTCATATTCCTAAGGCAAAGTTTCTCAACCTCAACACTACGGACATTTTGGGTCAGATAATTTTTAGTGTGGGAGCTGTCCTGCGAATTGTAGGATATGTAACAGCATCCCAGATCTCCACCCACTAGACACCAGTAGCAGCACCCCCACCCAGTTGTGATGACCAAAAATGTCTCAAGATCCTGCCAAACGTCCCCTGGGGAGCAAAATCTCTTCTAATTTAGAACCACTGGGCAAAGTATAAAAGGAACACTTGTCATACACTTACTGTTATGTGAATTTTGGCAAAAAAAATCTCTCTTAAGAGAGTAAACTATTTCCAGGAAATAGTTGTTAAAGAATTAACTCCCAGTTTTCTATAATAGTATTTGCAAGGTGTAATGCATATATTACCAGATACAAAAACATGAAGTCACATGTTTAGAATTACCTTAGTTTTGTTATTATGGCTAAAAAGGTCTGTCAATTTTCTCTTTCCTGTTCCCCAATAACACGACTTCAGTGCTTAAAGTATTTATTTGGATGTTCTTTTTTCTTTGATGTGATGGCCATGTGAAAGTGCCTGAAAACCATGACGGATACATGGCAGGGACTGAGAAAAAGCAAAGAGATTGGGAAAGTCATTCTGCAGTTCTCTCTTTGGAGTCTGGCTCTGTGTATTTTCTTGAGATACGGTACCTCTAAGCCTCAGATGCAATAGCAGCCTCTCTTGTCGTGGTTTAGGCAGGGGTTTCCTGTAAATTCATCTGGTTTATGTTTGGACTTGGGAAGAGCTTATTTCAGAATACCAGAATTAGGGGATCAAGACGGTGTGCTGAGTCTGTTCTTCCCAGTACATTTTCCATTTTAAATGACTCTCTGACTTGAGTGGCAGTACTGGAACTTGCTGGGAAGTATGAAATATCATTCTTGTTTGATGGAAAGGATTAGAGGAGATAGAACAAAAATGTATTAAATTTTCCCCCAAGGGTTCTCTCTGTCGGTATCAGTTTACTTGGCTGGTTTCTGTATATTTCTGCTCTCTGTTTTCCCCATAGACATTCCCGTAAACTCTGCCTGTCAATCCAGTTCTTATTGCTTTCATGTTTAATACTCCAATCGGTACATTTTACAAAATAAACCAGCCACGCTAAAATGTGATGCACGATTCGCTCTGTTGGTGTAAGAGGCTGAAACTGGGTTTCTAACAGAAGTTAAACCACTGCATGGTGAATGAGAACTGATTGTGGAGTGGTCATGAGTGCCTATCATGCCACTATGAGCCCCTACTAAGTCTTTCTGTTCACTACCTCAAAAATAAGATCTGTCAAAGATAAGATCTAAAGGGGATTTTTAAATGCAAACCATGATTTTTGTAGAAAAGATCTGTTTTCCCTGGTTACTAATATCTTTGCATGTTTGGAAAGCAGGTATTAGTTAAGCCTCCACTGAGCATTTACAAATATGCAATGTTTGCCTGTCTTCTCTGGGTTCTCTCCCCTCAGCTTCCTACAGGTTCGGGGACTCATCTTCTACACTCCCATCATCTTGACATTGGCCATCCTGTACTGCAATTACTACTTATTTCCCTAAGTTGTTCAGCATTCATTCATTCAACCTATAGATATTAAGTATCTATTATGTTTCAGGCTCTGTTCTAGGCAACAAAGCCGATGTGTCCTCAACTCTTTTAAAACTGACATTCTATTGGGAGAGATAGTCAATAAAAAGATTGTATTAGTCAGCTGAGCTGCCATACCAAAATACCATTGATTGGGTGGCTTTAAACAATAGAAATTTATTTTCTCACAGTTCTGGAGACTGGGAGCCCAAGATCAAGGTCCAGCCAATTTGATTTCTGGTGAAGACTCTCTTCCTGGCTTGTAGACAGCTGCCTTCTCATTATGTCCTCACATGGCCTTTCCTCCATGTGTACGTGTAGAGAGAGAGAGCAAGCCCTCTAGTGTCTCTTCTTATAGGAACAGTCATCCTATTGGATCAGGGGCTCACCCTTATGAGCTCATTTAACCTTAATTTCTTGTTCTTAATTTCTTAATCTCCAAATACAGCCACAGTGGGAGTTAAGACTTCAACATATGAATTTGGGAGAGATGTAAACATTCAGTCCATAACATACATAAAGAAAGTTTTCAGAATTACTACTTCAGATAATGATAAGAGCAATGAAAAAATAAATTAGAGGAAAGGAATAGAGAACATTTAGGGCAGAGATGGTGCTTGCTACTTTAGCTACAGGCCTCTCTGAGGAAGAGAAAGTTGAGTGAGAAAGAGGTAGCCTTAGAGAGATTTGGGGAAATGAGCATTGTAGGTAGAGAGAATTGTAAGTTCAGTGGCCCAAGATGGGAGTGAGGATTACGTGACAGCAGAAAGTCAGTGTGGTTGGATCCTAGTTGTCTAGGAGGAGAAGGGTAGAAGAAAATATTAGAGAGATAGGCAATAGTGTGATTGTGCTAGCCAGTACCAGGAATTGAAGTTTTGTTCTCATTGCAATGGACATCCATTGGAGGGTTTTAGGCTGATTAATGTATGGATAAGATACAATATAAGTGGCTAAATAGAGCAACTCTAAGAAATGTTTTAGAGTCTTACCTATCTTTGATACACATAGTATATGCTCAATAAATTTTTTAAAGTGGGAGTATGGATGTTTTCTCACATAGTAATTGATTTAAGTCAGATTTATTAGGTGTAATTTACATAGAATATATATTCACTTTTTATAGCATACAATTCTATGAATTCTGACAAGCACACAGTCATGGAACCACCAAACAATCAAGATATAGCACAGTTTCATCACTTCTCAAAATCCCCTCATGTGTCTTTGTAGTCAGCCCCTCCCCCAACCCAGCCTTTGGCATTTAGTGGTCTATTTTCTATCTTCATAGTTTTGCATTTTGCATAGTGTGATATGAACAGAAATATAAAATATAAAGTCTTTTGAGTCTGACTTCTTTTATTTAGCATAATTCACTTAAGACTCATCATCTTAAATGTATCAGTAGTTCTTTCCTTTTTATTGCTTAGTGTTCCATTTTATGGAGGTACCACAATTTGCTTATCAATTCAATTCAAGAATATTTGGCTTGTTTCTAGTTTTTGACAAGTATCAATGAAGCTGTTATAAACATTTGCATTAAGGTTTTTGTGTAAATATAAGTTTTCACTTATCTTCGGTTAATATCTACTAGTAGGATTGTTGGGTTATATGGTATGTGTATATTTAACTTGATGAAAAACTACCAAGCTGTTTTCCAAAATAGCTGTGTCATTCTGCATTGCCACCAGCAATGAATGAGAGTTCCACTTTTTCTGAAGCCTTGCCAGCGCTAGTATTATCTTTTTTTTTTTTTTTGGCCATTCTAATAGGTGTGTAGTCAATATCTTCTTTTACACCTCACAACTATAAATTTAAAGGTCTGTTGGGTATGCATAGTAAGGATGTAATGTGTAATGGAGTAATTTTTTCAACTACATTTTTTTAACCGAAAGAGCATGACTGTATCATCTTTATTGAGAGCTAAAGTAAATTTAAGACTATAGTTCCCCAATCCTTGCTTGAAGACTTTTATAAAATCTAAGCTTAAAGAATTTACTCCTTGAATCATGGCAACCTTGAAATCCAACCCTCCTACATTCAATGGGAGTCTTTGGAACGCTTCTTTAGAAAGGTAACCCATGATATTCTCTATTCAAAATATCAGCAACCCCTGAGGAGTGATAAAGCTTTTGTCCCCAAGATTCCAACCTCAGTTACACTATTTTTTTAAAAAATTAAAGTTAGTAGATGACTTTTGCTAAGAGTATGGCAAAGTGAAATAATGACTCCATAATTCTTGAGACACATTTTCCCAATCTATCCTCACATCAGTGAAATATTCCATCACAGGCCACCTGGTTTTGTCTTGCTAGGTGGCTGGCCACTCAAGCCTTTCACTTACCAGTGAGACATGAAGGAAGTAACGTGATTGAAAATTCTGTTCAAGAATTTGAGCATTAGGTCAATTGTGGACTCTAGAGTATAGTCTGAGCAGAGATGGGTGTGTCACTGATTTCACTACCTATAAGCTACCCTTAAATTGGTCTCTAGAAAGATCATCTGTCTTCTGATTTGTGAAGCTCTGATCTTGCCCAGTATTGTCCTATAATTGTTCGATGAAGGGCACTGGAGGACTAGAAAATTCAGTGGTTTTTACAACATCTACAGGAGTATATCACATAGATCCAGAATCTCTGCCAATGCCTTGAATGAATCCAGAAAATATTCCTATTACCACCTAAACACAAATTGTCTACTTTTTTCTCTTTTCATGGAGAAAGTATTTAGCTTTGTTTCTGCATGAGGGCATGGACTTATGCCTGGCACAAATTATCTAGAACTCTCTAGGAGCTGATCCTATTTCATAAATTAAGAATGAGACAGAATTTGTGTATGTTTAACATTAGCCATCTTTATAATGCTCAGTGCTCTCATTTTGCCTTTCTTTCAAGGAGCTGTAGCATGGCATTGCCTTTTTTAAAAAACAATGCCCATGGCTTTTCTCCCCCTGTTAGTTAAACATACTTTTAGACTTACCTGGCATAAGAGAGATTTTGTGCAGCCAATTTTATAAGATGAATCATAGTTGTCATTTTGTTCAGAACAATTTATTTCTCTTCATGGAATCAAATACTATAAATCTCTTGGACGCTCCTGTTAACAGTTGGTGGAGAACACGAGGGTGGAACTCTGTCTTTCCCAGAGGTGCTTGGTAGCATGTGGTTAGCGGCCAGGCATGCATCAGCTTCATGAATCTTCTTTTTTTGTTTTCTGTTTGCAGATTTTATTCCTCACCGTACAGTATTGCAACCAACCGCATGATTCCACAGACATCTATCACGCCATTCATTGCTGCTTCCCCTGTCTCCACATACCAGGTATGTCCGATTTACCTGCTGCACCTCAGGAGAGATCTTTCTTGCCAGTAATAGACTATATAAGGGCAAAAGGGACACAGTAGATTTTTTTTTTAATTGTCCTCATACACTTTAGTCACATCTTAGTGTAATAATACTCAAGTTATTAATTAGCCTACACTTTCAAGGGCTTGTTTGCATCTATTTCACTGAATAATAAAATCCACCATGCTTTTCATTCTTCCTGCTGAGTTTCATGATTATGCTGCTTTCCAGCCAACATTAGTACAGCTTTCTTACCACTGAGAAATTATTTTGTTTGTTGTCTGTTATTTCCGTTGTCACGTTCCCTGTTGCGTCTTTTCTAAAAGCGCATTTCTAGCCTTCCCTTCACTCACTCCAGGATATTTTATCATTCTCATCTCATTTTGTCACAGTTGTCCTGTGTATCCATGTAAAGCTGCATGGATAGATGTTACATCATTTTTTCCCAAGAAATGGGGCGGATTATCGAAGTGATAAAAAGTCGTTCCTACTTCCTGCTCTTGCTTCATTCTCAGTTCTGAAGAAGCCAAAATAGACCTCAGGGGTTTCACATGTTGAAACACAAGAAAATCCAGGACTCATTGTGTGTCCTAAACCAGATCTTGTATCCAGTTAATACTCAGGACACAGGTGGATTGAAATAGTCATACTTGTCCCTCAAAAAATATTCCCTATCTTCCCCCTTCGAGTTATCAAATATGTGATATTACTCCCTGATTCTCTTTACCTCATATTGTTCTTCAGACAGTTCTTCTAATTCTAGTTGGAAAATGCCTATAGATACTACATATGGAGAGTATCTAGTGTCATTTTTTAAAACTTTGGAGAGAGAGAAAAAAGCGTGAGAGAGAGTGCAAGTGTGTGCATGTGTGTGTTTCTCTATATTTTGCAGATGGTGGGGGTGGATGTTTTACAACGGGTACAACTGTCATGTTGCTGACTGCTACCGATTCAGTGAAGTTTCACCTTATTCAGCCACTGCATACTTCATTTCAGAATGTCCCAGCTGTCAGAGCATCAAACTTGAGACTGTGCATTTTTTCTTAACTGATTCCCCCTGTAGCAGATCATTTTCATTCTTTTTCTGCACTTAGATTCTTGATCCATGTCGGTGGGTGAACGGAATAGACTTTTGTGTGAATTGCATTCGAGGGTCTCGAAATGGCTGATTTCTTAATTGCCTTTCCTTGGGACCCATGAGGCTACGTGCAGGTGCCGTCCTGTTTTTGTTCTTCCTGCAGGCCTGCCTGATTGTAATGCATGTTTTTGTTTTTTTACCATTTTTTTCTAACCTCAGCCTCTGTTTCAGCCAAGACCACCCATTGAGCCCCAGTATAGAGCACTTTGGTGACATGAATAAAATATCCACAGAAAAATGATTTCACTTGGGAGGGCTCATAAGTAGAATTCAACTCCAGCTCTCTTTTCTCAAAAAAGGAATTAGAGCCATTTCCTATGTTGTTGATTCTCACCTTTCACCACTTCTTTTTTTTTTTTTTAATCTAAAGTGCATTGACAATTTCATTGGTGTGAATATGTTGAAAACAAAATCTTCAGGGTTCTCTACGTAACAATCAGCTCTCAAGCTGATTGTCTTATTTGGCTGACAAGGCACATTTCAGAACAGTTGGCTGGCTCAAATACTCATTTTTATTTGCCATACCAATTACCATGAGAGAAAAAAATGACAAACTTGCTTAACTTGGGTTTAACCCAAAGCATTCCTCAAAATTTCTGGTTGATCTCTTTAATTCTTACTCCAACTTTTACCACTTGGACTTACTTCCAAGGTGGGATCACTTGAGAATTTGAAGTTAGAATCAATGACAGAAAAAGAGGAAGTCTTCGCAGTCAACTCTTGCCTCTTTCATCATTTGCCTGGGTATCCCTGGGAGTTGACCTCTAAATAGGAGGTCTCTGAGGCCTCCTGACCCTTTAGTCTCCAACACCAAGCTCAAAATATGCTCCAAGGCCCAGCCTTGTCTGTGTGGGCACTGCAGTCAGCTCCAGTGAAGTAGGAATTTGCTTTACATTTTACCATGTTTCAGGGACCAAATTAATCAGGTACGAGAATTTGCTTTCTATCCTTAGTTTTGAGCACTTAGTTTTGTAAAGTCAGATGGACTCCACTTTCTTATGACCTAGTGTGACTCCACTGAACGCAAGAACCAAGTTCTCTCTGTGATTGCTTTGTGCTAATAAATGCTGTTTGATGCATAGGTCCAGAGTACTTCATGGATGCCTCATCCGCCATACGTTATGCAACCAACAGTAAGTGTTCTCAGTCACCTGAGGCTAAATATTTCTATTATCCAAGTGCAAGCTTTTGTAATGCATAGAAGCTTTGGGGTAAAGCTTTTGTTATAGTCCATACCTCTTTCAGGCAGCCATATTTTCCAGATAAAAAGCTGTTCCTGAAATTATACAAAAGCATGTACAATAGATAGATAGAGAAAGAGATAAGACAGACAGAGAGAGAGTGAGAGAGAGACAAAGACAGAGAGAGATGAGAGAGAGAACAAATTTATTGCAGGAAATAGCAGTCAACTTCCCGAGGTGATGTCTACCATTTGTTATGAATGGGGAATTCACACAGGAACTCCATGCAAGAACTCTGAACTCTGGGCGATTAAATCCATTATTAGAGGAAATACTTCCTGTTTTCCTTCTCCTTCTGTTATGCTTCATTTTCTTCAGATGCAGTTTGGGGGCGATTTTGAATATCATGGCCAAGTATTGACTCAAAGCAATGTATTTGAAATATGAAGGTAGTTGTCTACTAACAGATGGAGCTATAGAGAGAGAGAGCAAAGTTGGTAGATATTTTTTATGTTAACTGACTAGAGTTATTCTCTTCTTCTTTAGTGGAAAATTTCTTGCAAAAATATTCAAGCTCTATTTTCTGCTTGCTAGATTCCCCATTTTATGGCACGATATTACATCAGTCCCAAGTGAAAAATATTACACATTCCATTAGAATCTATACTGAAGGCTAATGATTCCATTTATCTTTGTCTAGGTCTTCCAGGTTTTCTAGCTCTACAGAGTTACAAGATAGAGAGTTTTCAATAGCAGTACACTCATGAGAGTTTGAGGTAGGGGAAAGAGCCTTAGACTGAAAGTTGTGTGACAAGGTCTCTGGTATACTGTCCTGGGCGTGCTCACATCTATGCCTTTGTTTCCTTTTTTGTCACCATACTTAGCAGGGCTTTTGGGAGGATCAAATGAGAGAGCATATGTGAAAACAACATTTAAAGTACAACATGCTATACATTATTATTACTATTATCCTTATTATTGAATGTATCAGTTGTACAAAGAAGAAGCAGTGCTACATTTTAACCCTTTTAAAAGCTAAATATAAATAAGGTAGCACTTATTAAAGACCAGGGAGCTAAATATAGAGGCATTCATTTCCTGGACTCCAATGGTCACAGCACCTGGTTTTCATATTCGAGCTTTGTCCATTTTTTTGAGGAACATTCCATGCTGCTCCTAATGTTTTGATAGTTTGTTTTTTATTTAAAGAATAAAATATATGTAGCTTACTACAGCAGAACTTTGGATCATATTTTTTTGCAAATCCCTCTATTTATTCTTACTTACGCACCTTGGGGGCTTCCTGAGTTCTTCTGGTCTTTGTTCTATAAATTATACCAACATGCAATGAATGCAGGCTACACTTTTCTGTCCAAGTCGTGAGGTAGAATTTAATATATGCTGCTAAACCAATGTATAGCACAGACTGAGCCAACACAGGAAAAGGGAAGAAGTCCTGCCAATTTCTAAAGAGGAGACTTTCTAGAAGGAAACAACTACCTTCTAAAAAAATGATGTGTTCATCTAAAGAGCACTATTGCTAGTTTAGTCCTCACACTGAGGTTAAGCATCATCTTGTTGTGGTCAAAAGGAATGCACATCTGGCAAAATCTGGATATTTTTCCAGATGTCAAAGTATGTAAGATTCTACAGTACTTCTAGAGCTGTGAGGAGAAAGGAAGATGTTTGTATGCGTCTTTATTTCAACTGGCACTCAAGATCTTAGCAAAGTTTTTCTTTACCTCCTCCGCCCCAGCACAGCTTCAGCCCCATTTTTGGATGTGTTATTTCTTATACACTTTCCTCTAGCAATAGCTGCGTGTGTGTGTATGTGTGTGTGCGTTAATTTGTCCTGTTAGATCTTCCTTGCTGTCGCATCTGCTCACTGGTAGCTTATCACTTCCCATGACTAGACTGTGCATCATGTTTAAGCTTAGGTCACTTGGTTTAAAATGTAATGTTTATGGCTGGGGCAGATTTCTGGAAAAAGGAATGACTGGGCCACCCAGCACTTTGTTGTCTTTAACATGGAAAAATTGGCTAAACAGTGTCATGGAAACACAGAGTTTGTACCATCAATCTTTGCCCTGTAATAGTCTTGCTGGTTGTCTATACCACATAAATAACCTTACCCAGCTGGTCTTAGTTTTATCATCAAGGTCTGGGTTAAATTAATCACTCTATGATACTAAAATACAAAAATACTTAAGTAATCTGAGACGAAGAAACATAATACCTGGATCTGAAAAGAATGAATGAATGACTTGATGATTAATAACATGAATTCTTGGTTAGGCTCTTTGGGATAGGAAACTCTTCCCAGCTATGGAACTTTAGGTAATTAAACTTTCTGTGCCACAGTTTCCTCATCTATAATATGGGCATAATAATACATGCATTTTGTTCATTAAATGAAATAAGGCATTAAAGCCCTTAAAGTAGTGCCAAGCAAATAGCAAACGCTCAATAAATTATTATTATTATTTAGTTATATAAGTAGACTGCACATTATGCTTTAGATTAGCCCAATTATATAAAATGAGTGTTGGTACAGGAAGAAAATTGAAAATAAGCAATAATCACCTATTTCTACCACATTCAGACTACTTATTTAACTTACTTTGCTACTGAATTTGGTGGGGTTAGCCTCTGTGGATATAAATAAGACAAATTGCATAGATTGATACTTATTTCAATTATTTACTAAACCATTCAACACTTAGTACTAAAAAATATAAAAGGCCCATAGAGTACCTTCTTTATGTCAGTAACTGGAACCTACTTTACAAATAAATTCAGGTTGTCAATACCTATATGATATCTCAAATATATTGCCCTATTTCTTATTTGCTTACAACTTCTCTCCTGTCTCACATTTTCTCTTCCACCATTTTGAGAACATCTCATGTATAAGCTCTCAGTGTATAGGTATGTTTCTGCCCCATCACTGTGAATGCACACCAACTCCCACCCTGGAGCCAGAAGCCCTTCAGGTTCTCTTTCAGCCTTGACTTAAAGGACTCTGAGATCTCAACCAGGTCTGTATCTGAAGAGAAAACGGTGCTCCAAGGCAGTCTTAAAGTAGAGCACAGTGCCTCTGGTCTTTACCAGGTGGGTGAATGGTTAGATTGGAGAGCTATCAATCGGTAAGAGAGAAATGACATGATGGAAGGAAAGGAAGGTAACAATAAAGGGACAAGAGAAGAACAGAAAGTATAAGCGAATAGCTGAAGTTTGCCACATAAGTTTGCTTCTTTGGAGATTTCATTTTCTAAGTTGTGTGCAATGTACTTTTTTATAGATTTAGTAAAAGGTTCTGAGAGGCTTGTCATTTTTAAGGAAGAGGGGATCAAGTCTCCTACCCTGCCTTATAACTATCATACTGGTGTTTGCGCAAGATGACAGTTCTCTGTCACTTAGACTTTGGGACTTTATTGGGTCCCCTGGAAAGTTGTCAAACCCCCTTGGGCAGCAATAGCCTTTCTGTTTGCACTTTAGTGTTGTTCACCTGAACAAACACTGGGGAGAGAGCCCTGTTAGACTAAATCAAGAATTCACTTTTTGCCGTGACGAAATAGAAATGCTGACTTTGTCAATGCAATCGGTTATTTGTTGCTGTTTCTCAGTGCTGGGTTCTGTACTGTACTCTGAAATCTCACTATTACACCGACAGAATTTTAATAGGTGATAGATTGCACCAAATATCTACTCTGCGTAGCAGCATGTCATGTTGGAATCTCATATGAATGCACAATTGAAATTCCTATCTTGCTATACGTCAGACGGTTTGTTAAATCTGTGCTGACAAGGAGAGAAGATGATAGTTCCCAAGAAGAAGCATAGTTCTGTTCCTTCGAATTTTATTTAGGCTCATTTGAATCTTAAATCTTCTCTTCCTCATATGGTTAGCATTATTTCATCTCAAAAAGAGAGGTCAGCTTTCATTTTTACTTAATTACAAATTGGTTGTCTAATTACCGCATTCTAAGAAATGCAAGATGTCTTTATTGAATCATTGGATGATTTGTTGCTATGCATGGCTAAATTATGACTTTTATGATTAGTAAACCTTAAGTTTACAGCTAAAGAGTTAATATAAACTTCCCTTCTACAACAAGGCTGTGCAAGAAAGCTCCAGAATATTTGATTCCATCATTCTTTACCTGTGAATAGGTAAGGACTAAGACTTAATTTTAGGAGCTGTGTTCTTCAAATTTGCAGGTGTGTTTTCTGTAAAAGCACATTGCCAAATTTGGAAAGAATATTAAATCATTAGAATTCTGTTCAGAAAGCAAGGTTTTCAGATACTATCCTTTTGCTCCTGAGCTGAACAAAAATCTTAACCCTTACAGTTTCATTATCAAAGTACCAAAGTTAAAATGCTTTTGCTGTCTAAGATGTTAAACTTGTAGATATCTATCTACAGGCCAAAGTTTTGTTTTAACTAAATAGCAAAAACAAAATAACATCAACTCTAGCCCATATGTACTATTTCTACCAGAAGAAAATTCAAATGAGAGAGAATAAACTTAGAAGGAGCATCTTCTGTTGAGTGTCACCTCCTTTTAAAAACACAGCTGGGGTAAAATGCATATGAATGAAATAATTTCCACAGAAAGTCTCTCATACACCTTAACTTTTGTAAGAAACAGTGCTGGCTTTGCCATTATTAAAGGTAACTTCAAAATTCTACAGTAATTTTTCAAAAATAATCCAGTGACTTAAGAAACAAAAAACTTTAAAAAAATGAAATGCAAGGCTCATAATTCACAAGTGCATAGAACATAAAAGAATTTCCACTTAGGATCTCTTCACTCCTCACTTCTACTCTCCAGAAGTCAACCTTGTAAACAAATTTGTATGTCATTAGCCACTCAATTTTTTATGCATACAACGGTATATATGTGCATGTGTGTAAATGTGTGTGTATTTTTAGCATATATACAAGATCA